GGTGTATTGCAACAGGTGTAGTGCATCCTAATTTTTTTAACATTAACACTTTTATTTGACAATATAGCCATTTTGGCCTTTAGAAAAATGTTTTGTTGAGGGTATCAACTCCCAACAAACGTCATCTTGGGAAGTCTAGCCACTCATTTTTACTCTGTACTTTTACTCTTAATACTTAAGTACATTTTATGTCAGAAATTTACTTTTGATACTTAAGTACAAAATATATTAGATACTTTAAGACTTTTACTCAAGTAATATTCTTAGAGGAAACTTGAACTTTTACCAAAGTAAATTTATGGTAAGATACTTGTACTTTTACTCAAGTATCACTTTGAGGTACTTTATACAACAATGCGGAGACAACATAACTCGCTTTGTTTGTTTCTGTACATCCTGCATTTTTAGACAAACAGAGTTTCATGTTTCTATCTGTAAAAGTGTCACCCCGAAGGTCAGACCATGCAACGGTCAGAGAAATGAGCTCCACAGGCCTCAGTCTGCAGAAACAGGCTGGACAAGTCCGGCTTGTTGGAAAGGGTTAGGAGGAAGACTCTGAAATTGAAAATGGTTCCACGTTGGAAGAAAAACACACACATCAGCTGACACATCTCAAACCAACTGAGCAGGAGGAACCAGTTTTTGCATTTGGCCTTTGTTTAATGAGGAACAATGCAAAGGGATGTACATGTTGAGTGTTTTTGTTCTTTTTGATTTTAATCATTTTAAAGTTGGACTTTTTGTCCCATGACTGTTCCTCTCAGACCAAGCTCGCTCCACCATGAAAAGAAAAAAGACTAAAAAAACATGAAGATAAGAAACCAGTGAGATCACAAACCTCTTCTAAAACCAAACAGATTGTAAATAAAATATATGCAGACAATAAAATCTGCTACCAGGTGATTGTACAGGTGAGCTGCAGGGAGGAGCAAAGGTCCTAAACTCTCCATAGGTACATGGAAATAAAAACACTCGTTTAACCCACAATTTCTACATACTTTACTTTACTTCTAAGCTTTTCATGTATCAAAAAGTTTGGCTCATTCAGGAGATTGATTTGTTGAATTTTAGGTTTTGTAATTTTTTTGCATTTCAAAATTATTTGCTACTAGCTAACACATCACTACTTTTAGTTTCTATGGCTACTTCTGCTGCATGTAGTTAGCATTTTGCTACTCTTAGATTTCTTCAATTCAGCTCCTGCATTCAGCTATTGTCTGCTACGTTTAGTGTGAAACTACAATAATTTTAGTTTGTCTTTGGCTTCTATTAGCTAACCTTTTGCTGCTTTAGTGTTTTTTACTTTTAGCTTTTTAACTCGATTTTTGCTACTTTTTTAGTTGCTACTTTTAACTAGGTAGCCATTAGGCCTCTTTTTGGCACTTTAACTTTTTAGTTGCTTTCGTCTTGCCTTTGGCATTCTTTAGCATTAAGCTAACTTTTTACTGCTCTTGGGTGTGTTTTGTCACTTTTAGTTCCATATAGACCATTGTCACATTTATTTTTAACAAGATATTACTACTTTTAGCTATTAGGTAGCATTCAAATGCTTTTCCTACATGTTAGCTTCCATCCTGCTATGCTTTTATTTTTTTACTTAAGTTTTTGTTTTGTTACTTTTAGCCAGCCTTTGGCCGCCACTTGTTCTTAAATACCATTTTACTGCTTTTAGCCTTTAGCTACTTTGCAGCTTTTAGTTTCAAATTACGTAGTTTTGATACCCTTAACTTTTAGCAACCATTTTGCTACTTTTAGTTTTGTCTTAATCTGATCATAAATCTGAATAAAAGTTCATGAAAATAAAGTAATAAAAATGATCAAGACTAATTATGTTTTCACTCAGATTTTTATTATTTCAGGTTTTATTAAAAAGCCACACAAAGTATTACTCCATTCTGTTTTACAGGCAGATAAAAACTCCCATTACCCAAAGACACCAAATTTGATTACAGGTAAATTAGTCAAATTATTGTAAAAGCAGAGATGAAGCTGCTTCTCAGGCTTCTTCTAATCAGAGTCACTGCTGCAGGAGCTGCTGTCGTACTGCAGGAGACAAAAATCAGTTATTCAGATTAGAAAMAACATTTGCTCCTCCCTCTGTAAACACAGCTCTGCCTGTTACATCTGAGACATTTAGCTGTAAAATCAGACAAAAACATCAGCAGGTGTGAGTCTTACCCCGCGACCGTCCCTCCCCTTCTTGTGACATTTGAGGTGTCTGTGACCACACCTGTGCTTGTGTCTCAGCTTGTGGAGGAACCCGTGTTTGTGTCCCTCATGCTCATGTCCATGATGACCGTGTCCATGTCCATGATGACCGTGCTCATGTCCATGATGACCGTGTCCATGATGACCATGTCCATGATGACCGTGTCCATGATGACCATGTCCATGTCCATGATGACCGTGTCCATGATGACCATGTCCACCTTGTAGAATTAAAACATAGTCTTCAGTAAAAATCCAAAATATACTTCTAATTTCTCCATATTTCGCATTTAAAAAACATTTTTTGGAATCTTAGATTTTTTTTTGTTCTCGAGATGATCTGAAGGTCTTTTGGACTTGTTCCAGATCTTCTTATTTTCTAAGTTTTGCTTTGTGTGAGACATTTAACTCTGCGTTATGAATCATTCAGACACACAAATCAGTAAAGAATCCATTTTACTTGTTTTTTTTTGTCTCTTTGTTGTCAGCAGCTTGTCACAAAGACAGTTAGTGATGCCTGAAACTTTTTGTTTATTTTAAACTAACAGGACTGAAAGAAGCAAAAGCCTGAAGGAACAACTACTGTATTTTAAAGAGTCCCAGAAAAACTTGCTCCTTGCTGACAGATCTGTAAAATAGGAAGAGGTATTTACCGTGACCGTGTCTGTCCATCTCAGAGCTTCCTCCAAACAGTTCGAGCAGAAATCTGTTGGTAAAAACACAAAGATAATCACAACACAGTTCAGAAAATAAAACGTACAATAAAGTGTTATAATAATAATGGACTAAAAGGCCAGTTGGACAAACCTTCAGCTGAGTTGTGAACAGGTGAGCTTCCTGATAGCAGATGAGCCGGTCCACACACCTGGATGGTCTTTATAGATGAAGCCACACCTCAACCAGAGCCCTTCCTCAATTCTTTTGAAAATTCTCTTACCTTTGTAACTTTGACTACTTTAAAGTTAACAAAGTTTGATGTTTTTTAAGTTTTAGGATTGATTTACCCAACATGCCACGAATATATGTGGTTCAGGAAGTAGATTTAAACATTTAATTATTTGAAAAGTCTCCATTTGCTGTGTTTTTTCTACAACTGGGGCATTAAAACATGATGTTATCAGACACCAAAACCAGCATTTCTACATGTTTCTGCAATGTCCATGCACTTTACTTTAAAAACAAAGTTCACATCATTTTAAGGCATCATCTTCCATAAGGCTTTAATTGGATTTATTTTATCTTCATCTGCCTTTTGATACATTTACTTTTAGCAACCCTTAGCAAACTTGAGTATGAGTTTAAGTATATCAAGTATATTAGGCACCATGTACTTGTAGTGTACTAGAAAATATATTGATTAAAAAACTTGTTTGTACTAAGTTGGGACGTTTTAAATATAAAAAGTATACTTTAAGTATACTGTTATATCTTTTTGAGTTTATAAACTTACCAAAAATTACATGTAATTAAGTATACTGAATTACATAAAAGCGTATTTCCCTAAGCGTACTTTTATTTACCATGTAAACTGATATAAGTGTACTAGCAGTTTACTAACAAATATACTTCTAGGACTAAATTGACCCACAAAAGGTTTATGAAAGTATACTCAGAAGTATACTGAAAGTAATCTAAGTATAGTTTTAGTTTCATCTTAAACTATACTACAAATAAGCCAGTCTGTGTGAAAAGTGTACTATTAAATTTTATCTTGACCAAAAGTTTAAACATTAGTATAAACTAAGTATGCTTAAACTTTTAGTATACTTTCAGTACAACCCAAGTACAGTGTAAGATAAACTTGGTTAAGTATATCTCAGGTAAGCACATAAAAAGTAAACTGGAAGTATACATTGATCTGTCCGTCCGTTTTCTGCCGCTTATCCGGGGTCAGGTCTCGGGGGGTAGCAGCTTAAGCAAAGAGACCCAGACTTCCCTCTCCCCAGTCACTTGGGCCAGCTCATCCAGGGGAATCCCAAGGCGTTCGCAGGCCAGCCGAGAAACATAGTCCCTCCAGCTTGTCCTGGGTCTTCCTCTGGGTCTCCTCGCAGTGAGACGTGCCCGGAACACCTCACCAGGGAGGCGTCCAGGAGGCAACCTAACCAGATGAACCACCTCAACTGGCTCCTCTCGATGTGGAGGAGCAGCGGCTCTACTCTGAGTCCCTCGTGTATGAAAGAGCTTTTCACCCTATCTCTAAGGGAGAGCCCAAACACTTTGAGGAGGAAACTCATTTCAGCCGCTTTTATCTGCTATCTTGTTCTTTCGGTTACTACCCAAAGCTCGTGACCATAGATGAGGGTAGGAACGTAGACCGACTGGTAACTAGAGAGCTTCTCCTACTGGCTCAGCTCTCTCTTCATCACGACAGACCGGTACAGTGCCCGCATCACTGCAGACGCAACACCAATTCACCTGTCGATCTCCCGCTACATTCTTCCCTCATTCATGAACAAGATCCCGAGAAACTTAAACTCCTCCACTTGGGGCAGGACCTCCTCCCAGACCTGGAGAAGGCACCCTACTGGTTTTTGGCTCAAGACCATGGTCTCGGATTTGGAGGCACTGATCCTGATCCCGGCCGCTTCACACTTGGCTGCGAACCGCTCCACTGAGAGCTGGAGATCAGGATCTGATGAAGCCAACAGGACCACATCATCCACAAAAAGCAGRGATGTGATCCTAAGGTCACCAAAAAGGATCCCCTCAACACCTTGGCTGTGCCTAGAAATTCTGTCCATAAAAGTTATGAACAGAATCCATGACAAAGTGTAACCTTGGCGGAGCCCCCTATGTAAAAAGGGGGACCACCACCCCGGTCTGCCAATCCAGTTGAACTACCCTCGAAGTCCACGCGATGCTGTTGAGTCACGTCAACCAACGCAACCCCACAACATCCAGAGCCTTAAGGAACTCTTGGTGAATCTCATCCACCCTGCCACCGAGGAGCTTTTTAACCACCTCAGTGACCTCGGCACCAGAGATTGGAGAGTCCGACCCAGGGTCTTCGGGTTCTACTTCCTCATGGGAAGACGTGTCGATAGGATTGAAGAGGTCTTCGACGTATTCCGCCCACCGACCCACAACGTCCCCAGTTGAGGTCAGCAGTGCTCCATCCCCACCAGTGTTAGTGTTGGTGGCGAACCGCTTTCCGCCCCAAGACACCGGATGGTGGACCAGAATTGCCTCAAAGCCRTACGAAAGTCTTTTTCCATGGCCTATCCGAACTCCTCCCATGCCCGAGTTTTTGCCTCAGCGACCACCGGAGCCACAATCCGCTTGGACTGCCGATACCTATCAGCTGCTTCCAGAGTCCCACAGGCCAAAAAGACCTGATAGGACTCATCCTTCAGCCTGACAGCATCCCTCACCACCGATGTGCACAAGCGGGTTTGACAGTTGCCACCACGACAGGCACAGACAACTTTACGGCCCCAGATCAGGTAAGCCACCTCGACAATGGAGGTACGGAACATGGCCCACTCAGACTCAATGTCCCCCACCTCCCCCGGAACGTGTTCAAAGTTCTCCTGGAGGTGTGAGTTGAAACTCTGTCTGACAGGAGACTCTAACAGCTGTTCCCAAAAGACTCTCACTATACGTTTGGGTCTGCCAGGTCTGACCGGCATTCTCCCCCACCAATGGAGCCAACTCACCACCAGGTAGTGGTCAGTTGACAGCTCTGCCCCTCTCTTCACCTGAGTGTCCAAACCATGCGGCCGCAGATCAGATGAAACAACAACAAAGTCGATCATCGAACTGCAGCCTAGATTGTCCTGATGCCAAGAGCACATATGGACACCCTTATGTTTGAACACGGTGTTCATTATGGACAATCCATGACAAGCACAGAAGTCCAATAACAAAACACCGCTCGGGTTCAGGTCAGAGGGGTCGTTCCTCCCAACCACGCCTCTCCAGGTCTCATTGTCATTATCCACTTGAGCGTTGAAGTCCCCCAGCAGAATGAGGGAGTCCCTCTTAGAAGCGCTCTCCAGCACCCCCTCCAAGGACTCCAAAAAGGGTGGGTAATCTGAACTGYTGTTAGGCGCATAGGCACAAACAACAGTCAGGACCCGTCCCCGCCACCCGTAGGCGTAGGGAGGCTACCCTCTTGTTCAGCAGGGTGAACCCCAACATACAGGCATTGAGCTGGGGGGCAATAAGTATGCCCACTCCTGCTTGGCGCCTCTCAGCATGGGCAACTCCAGAGTGGAAGAGTGTCCAACCCCTCTGGAGGAGACTGGTTCCAGAGTTGTGTGTCAAGGTGAGTCCAACTATATCTAGTCGGAACCTCTCAACCTCACACACCAGCTCAGGCTCCTTCCCCACCAGAAAGGTGACATTCCACGCCCCTAGAGCCAGCTTCTGTAGCCGAGGATCAGACCGCCAAGGTCCTCGCCTTCAACCACTGCCCAACACACAATGCACCTGACCCCTACGTCCCCTCCCACAAGTGGTGAGCTTATGGGAAGGGGGACCCATGTCTCCTCTTCGGGCTGTGCCCGACCGGGCTCCGAGGGTGAAAGCCCAGCCACCAGGCACCTGCCAACATGCCCCACCTCCAGGCCCGGCTCCCGAATGGGGCCCTTGTGACACACGTCTGGGCGAGGGAACACTCAATCCATTTACTGTACTCATCATTAGGGGTCTTGGGGCTGCACTTTGTCTGATCCCTCACCTAGGACCTGTTTGCCTTGGGTGACCCAGGGGCATGAAGACCTGACAACATAGCTCCTAGGATCATTGGGACACTCAAACCTCTCCACCACGATAATGTGGAAGCCCAGTTAGAGGCTGGGCTGCCACATTTTATTTTAAGTTTAAAATTAGTATACTTAATGGATACTTACATACTAAGTTTTGCTAACGGAAGCCATTTTCTTCTTTTAGCTAGTTTGCCTTTGGAAAATTTTGAGATCTGTATTTTGCTTTTAGTTAGTTTAGATTTGTTGTTTAAGCTTAGCTACTTTAGCTTGTCTTTATCCATCCATCCATCTTCTTTCTCTTATCTGGGGTCGGGTTGCGGGGGCAGCAGTGCCTGGAACAACTCACCAGGGAGGCATCCTAACCAGACAATTATTTTTAACAAGATATTGCTACTTTTAGCTGTTAGGTAGCATTCTGATGCTTTTCCTACATGTTAGCTACCATCCTGCAACACTTAGCTTAAGCTTTTATTTTGTTACCTTACGTTTCTGTTTTGTTACTTTTAGCCAGCCTTTGGCCATTTCTCGTTCTTCAATAGCCTTTTACTGCATTTAGCCTTTAACTACTTTGCAGCCTTTAGTTTCAAACTAGTTTTGCTACTCTTTGCTTTTAGGCACCATTCTGCTACTTTTAGGTTTGTCTTAATCTGATCATAAATCTGAATAAAAGTTCTTGAAAATAAGAAAAACAATAAAAACGATCGAGGCTGTAATTATGTTTTCACTCAGATTTTTATTATTTCAGGTTTTATTAAAAGGCCACACAGAAAGTATTACTTCATGATGTTTTACAGGCAGGTAAAAACTCCCATTACCCAAAGCCACCAAATTTGATTACAGGTAAATTAGTCAAATTATTGTAAAAGAAGAGATGAAGCTGCTTCTCAGGCTTCTTCTAATCAGAGTCGCTGCTGCAGGAGCTGCTGTTGTACTGCAGGAGACAAAAATCAGTTATGCAGATTAGAAACATTTGCTCCTCCCTCTGTAAACACAGCTCAATAGAACCATCTGTTTTCTGCATCAACTATCTGAGACATTTAGCGGTAAAATCAGACAAAATTATCTGCAGGTGTGAGTCTTACCCCGTGACTGTCCCTCCCATTCTTGTGACACTTGAGGTGTTTGTGGGCACACTAGTGTTTGTGCCCACCRTGCTC